AAAGTTCCTAAATTATCTAATAATTCCAACAACTCTAATATAATTGGAGCAGGAATTGGGGATGCAACTGGTTAGACAAATTCTAAAATCACTGCAATGCAAATTACTAATTTAGCAGTTAACCCTTATTGTCTAAGCTGTCCTACTGGTTTGACTACTATCGATACCAAAACTTCTGGAGGAAGATTTAGAAATTTGTAGTCTCAATCTCGATAAACATACTAATTGACATACAATGTTAATCCTTCTTAAATTACAAAGACAATATGTGTTTCTTATGATTCAAATAACGTTATGACTGTAAACCCAACAAGCATAAATATTGCTTAAAACCAAATAACATGTACTTTTACTAGCAATTCTTCACTTTACTATGACTCTAACTGCTAATACATTAGTAAGAAGTTGTGTTCCTCACAAAAATCAAGCTTTAATGATCAAGTAAGTACTAACAGTAAGCTGTTGAGCATATCATTAGCCTTTGTAATGATTTTTGTAATATATATCTGATAGAATCTTATATCAATAAAAATTCAAATGTATTATTAAGTACATAAATGTTATATAAAGAAAATTCAAGTTCTTCATTATTTGCTATGAAATAATAATGATAAAAGAAATAATTATATACTCAACAAAATTATTAGGTATTCTATAATATAAAAGTAAGTGCCTAATTAATAATCTAAGCAGTTTAGAAAGTATAAATTACATATATATATAAATAAATATATTAGCAAAAATAAATTTATAAAATTCATATTTTACATTATTAGTGTGGTTCGTTTATATTTTAAAAATACATAATTTGATAGAATATTTTTTTTATCTAAGATTTTTTTTGAATTTTAATTAATTATTTTATTTTAATTTTAAAATTAATCATAAATTTATTTAGATATTATTAATCAAAGCTATTTTACACTTAATTCTTGATAATTTATTTATATTAAATTTAGAACACAAAAAATATATCATAAAATTTAGTCAATTTATGTTTACTATAAATAAAAAATCTAAGTTAATAATGAATGCGTTACAGATATGATGAATAAATTAACTTGGTTGTTTTTGTGTTTATAATATCTAATTAACTTATTTTTGCCTACTGATCTAAAAAAGCCCCGATTGTATATTCTCTTTTATTTAGCAAGTATTTTTAATAAATCAGAAATTAATTGATTAAATTCTATTTTACAATATCTGTTGTAAAATCAGATAGTATGAGTTGCTTTTGAAAGATCATATTTAAAAATATTTTTTATTTATTTCTCAATTTGAATCTCTTCTCTCAACTAATAATTATTCTATCTATCTTTTAGAATAAAACTACATTATCCATGTAATTTCAAAAAAGATTGTTAAGATTTAAATAATTTAAGTGTATTTAATTCGAAAATCAAATTAGCATTTTTATAATTTAAATATAAAAAATAAGTCATTTAAAATGTTGTTGCGAAAAATACTATTTTTTAAAAAAAGATGTTGTTTGAAATAAAGATATATGATAATTACAAAGAAGGATAATAGGTAACTTTTAATTTAATAAAATCTATTAAATTTATCAATTTCTATTTAAGATACAATTTCTTAATATTGTTACCAAAAATATTATTTGTTAAAAAAAGATGTTGTTTTAAATAAAAATATACGATAATTACAAAAAAGGCTAATTAATAGGTAACTTTTAATTTAATAAAATCTATTAAAATAACATATTTTTTTGTGCTACATAGGTCTATCATTCTAAACTCATCACTCACCCATTAAATTTAAATAATTTTTTTGAATTTTTTAAGCTATTTTCTTGACTTATCATTTATCATAAAACAATCAATATGAACTATTCTTTGAATTTTATTTTTTAATTTTTCACATATACGGACAGATAAGTTCAATTAGTTACTTATTTATCCATTAAAATATGAATAAAATTTTTAAAAATTATTTTAAATTTTGTAAAGTGATAAAACAAAAATACAAAAATAAGTTTATCTAAATTATATAAATACTACATATTCTACAAAAGAATATAGAAAAATTTTGTATAGAATTTTGCTTTTTGATATCAAATTAATGAAAATAGTAAACTAAGAATAGAAGAAAATAAAATTAAATGATCTATAAGCATCTAATTACTTTAGCAATTTTTTATATATACTTTAATTTCTCTTAGATAGTTGCAAAATCAATTAAGGTCATGTTTAGACAATATTAAAAAAATTTTTGACATAAAAAGCTTTTTGTTATTAAATATGTAGGTCCTAATTATTGCTAAATCCCAGTAAGTTTGTATGTCTTTTATATTAATTTTGAGACTGAAAACAAAAAGATAAACTTATAAAAACAAATACCAGAGACAACTTATTAAAATTAATTAACTTTAGTATTTTAAATATTTTATGGTAAAATGATTATAAATAAACCTAATTTACTTATCTTTTTATATTTTTCTCTTTGCTTATTTCTTTTATCTAAGTTACTAAATAAAAAGTCTACAAATAATTTTGAAACATTATGGCTAATGCTTGAATTTTAGTTTAGAAAATTAAACTATTTATTCAAATTAATGAATAACAGAAACAATTAGGCCTTAAGTTAGTTATCTTTAAGCACTTTTAATCTATATTAATAATATTTTAAATATTTAACAACTAACATTTTAATTATCACACTTGTAAGATTGTAAATGAATTTATGGTAAAAATAAACTTGTACGTTATGAAAATTAAATTATTGATTAAAATAATGAATAATAGAAACAAAGTTCCTTTATCTTATCTTTGAGTACTTTTTAATAATTCACGATATTTTTAAGTATTTAGCATCTTATATTTAAATTTTGGCAATAATAATTTAAGGATTTTAAATGAGTTTCTGGTAAAATTAAACAGGAATATTATGAAATTGAAAATTAGAGAGTGATTACATTTTTTAATTAGGCTTTTGTGATATCATAATTTATGTAAAATCAATCATGCTTATATCTAAAATTTAATTGCAAACATATAAGTTTAAAATTAATATTACTATAAAAATGATCACTTCTTGATACTTTTTGAGTATCGCTCATCTTTATTTATCATAGTTTTTTAGAATATTTATATAAAAAATAAAAGCTTTTATCATTTACATCTTTATGGTCTATCTAATTCAAATTTTACAATTATTTCATGAATTAAGTATGATATTTATAAAAGTTCTACAATATTTA